GTGTTGGATGTCTTTCCGGGGAAGTCCCGGGGAAAAAGGGACCTTGCTTGTCCATCTTTCCCCTTTTTTTTTTTTTTTTTTTAATATTTTACCTTTTAACCTTCTCGCCTTTTTTTCTTTCGTCTGTACTGTTTCCCTCTTCTTTTCCTGTTCCATTTTCAAACGCTCTGTCATTTTTGATAGTGGGTTGAAAAAATAAGACCGTCCAAGAGAAAATCATCCATTTCAATATGATTTCTTGTAGAAGAAAAAATATTTTGATTATTGCTTCCGTTTATAGCCAAAAAAATTTGAATCTGCTCCAGACACTCGGGGAAAATCCCTCAATTAGCTTAAAAACCTTTAAATACTGTACAGTAAAATCTTGTTACAACGATCGCATCGGGACAAGTAAAATAACTTTGATTCAATGAAAAATTAGTTAATAAATGAATTACAAATTGTGGCTATATGACATGGACCTAGAAAACTACTAAAATTTAATTCATTATTCGTTGTAACGAGATTCTACCACAAAAGTACGGTACATCAGTTTGGTGATACTGTAAACGGAAATTGAAGAAAAATTAAAAAAAAATTTATATTGGAGAGGGATTGAAAAGCAAACAAATTTATGTCGAGATTCGTTGTAACGAGATTCATAACAATTAATATCGAGAAATGCGTGCTCTCAATTTTTTGAAAAGGAAACAAAAAACTCGGGGTAAGAAAAATATTTTCTTACTGTTCTCTTTTACAATCTTCGCCTTGATTTAAAATCTGGGTATAAGTTTAATCTCAAAACTGGCCTAAATCCATGAAGTTTTTGATGGGGAAATGTTTTGTGAAGCAATTCTTTTTAAAATTAGTGTTCTGTAAAAAAAAAAAATAGCTAAAGCTCAGAAATCAAATAAAACAATTCTCGACACGATCAAAAGTGTCAAATTGAGCGAATTTAATGAATTTAAAATTTTTGCTGCTATTGATATTCCGCGCAGAAGAATTTTATTCGACAAAAGATTACATCATTTTTAAGCAGTAACATGCCTCAGGCAAAAATAAATACAGTAATAATAAATGGCAGCATGAAACCAGTGAGCAAAAAAAAAAACCCATTATTCCGTGTAGCACCATGTGCCACACTATTTTCCCCTCAAAAGTAAACAATCCGATCACAACTTGTTTTCGTGATAAGGTTGAGTAAAATTGCCTTGAAATTTCATATACAGTATCAAAATCAGCAAATTTTTTTCCCCCTCAAAAATAAACAATCCGATCACAACTTCTTTTCTTGAAAAAGTTTGAGTAAAATTGTCTTGCAGGCTACGTTACATTTTTTTCCGATGGGATAGTTTAATACAAATTCCTTGGTATTTGTTTTTTTTTCTCATCTGTTTATAATCTCTGGTATTTCCTAGAACGTCCGCTGGAAGCTTGATTAGTTCCGCGTTGATCAACCGTTACATCCCTTTTTTTATTCTTTGCTGCCCCCAGGGCTATGACTTGGGGAAAGGGAACGTGAAATACAATATCCAATGAGATTTTTTCTCTGCGGAATAAATGGGTTACTCAGCATTTTGTCATTTCATATAAAATGAAAATGAAAGAAAAATCGATAATTAAAATTTTCTGCTGACTGCTGAATACAAATTTGTCTAGTTCTGCACATTATAAATCATTAAAACCAATCAATTATTAAAAGTGAGAAAAGGAGAAAATTTCATGGTTTTATCCCACAAAAGGCGCGCAGAACTGGGAAATGGAAGCAACTCTCTGCTGACTCTTGAAAATATTTTCCCTATTTCCTGGTGAACGAAATTTTTTGACGGACTATGTGGAAAGAACCACTCAAATGTTATTGTGAACTTTGAAATTTATCAGCAAAAGGCGCGTGGAACTAGGACAACCCGAATAAAGACACCACAGACTGACTTCACGAGGAAATACATTGTAAACGTTCTTTATAAATTCAGGTATCCGTGACACCGGAATTATCAGAAATATAATTCAACTTTCAAATTTTTTTTCTCAGTTTTACCGCTTGAAAGGCGTGTCAATTTTGTGAATATGGGTTTTTTTTTGGGTGCAACGAGTCTCAAATCCTGCATGAATCATCCGTGGAATATTTTATCATATTCTACTGCATTTATTGTCACCAAAAAAAAAAAGGCCAAAGAGGAAATAAAAATGCAGCCACACTATTTTCCAACGACAAAATACAACAGGATCAGATATATTTTAAATATGCAATACGCAGATGTAAAGCTTGGAAAAATAAAGCTATAATTTTTCCACCGAATTGCATCTGATGAAAATGAAATAAATTGATGATGAAATTCATATTTCCGAGTACCCCGTGATGGGGGTCCTTTTTTTTTTTTTACTGGAAGGAAGTTTCAGGTAAGATAAATAAGTTTTAACAGCGTGTCTGACGAGGAAGTCGTCAAAAGATTCTCTCGTCCTTGTGTGTGTGCCTCCATCATTCCCCTCCTTTTTCCTTCCTATTCTTCTTTGCGTGTGTCCATCTTTTTTTTCGAGTTATTCTGTCAAGTCATTATTTCAATGGTTAAATTCTCTCCTTTCGAAGCCTATACGTGTTCTGTGTAAGTTTTACGAGTTCTGTTGGAAATACGAGGGGTCTAACAAAAGTTCTCGGAATAGAAATTGCATCTAATTGAGTTGTAAAAAATTTATTCTTTGGGGGAAACATATTCTTTGGCACACAAAAAAAAAATCATCTTGCTTTGACTCTTAATAGTAAAACCTTCACAAGGTTTTACTATTATTAGTAGTATATAAGCTGCTCCCTTTTCCTAATCATATCAGCATCAGTTCAGTTCATCTGTTTTATTCAAGTTATCCTCAAGTTATCCAAGTTATTCCTGCAAGTTAAGCTCATTGAGTTGTTTATTCATATCTTTGTGAAATACACATTACCCCTCTTTAAACTAGGATTTCCTAAATGGAATCACGGTCCTGCCCTGGACTGAATAACGTGTTTTTATTCTAATCTCAATAGCACTCAACATCAAATTATATTGAGGCATTTTGTGCCCAATAGTTGGCAAAGGAAATTAAATATCTGTCATTAGCCAAAAACTTGCATTTTTTTTCTTCAAGGCCCAGAAAAGCTTTTGCCTCAATATTGACCCTAAGAAGACTAAAAAAGTCACTCTAAACCTTAACAGAAATTTTCCAAGCAAAACTTTGGTAAATGTGGGTGACATCTATCTGAAATAAAATAAAACACAAGACCGACATTCAGTTTTGAAGCAGAAAATAACCGGAATATGGATGGATGCATGTCTTAAAGTTTGCTTGGATAAAATCTTTAAATATCTGGTGGTTATTTTCGGAAATTTTTTTGAGCAATTAATCCGACGAAGAATTTAATTCAATTTAGGAAATTGCACAACAGGAGGCAATTTCCCAAGAAAGGAAACGCATGTCCTCATTGTTTTCTTCTTCCCAAATGCCCATTTTTTTTTCTCCTTGATGGCATTGTTTTTGCTCGAATACTGTCGTCTGCCTTTTTAAATATTTTTTTTGCGCAATCGTTGGCGACTCTCGTGTTTTTTATTGCTTTCTTTGACAATTAACCGCTCGTGACCCGACGAAGGTTCGTTGACCCGAGAAAATTCTTCGTAAAAGTGGACTTGAAAGGCGATTTAATTTTGGGTTCCGTTATTTTTCGGGACCTGGTTCGGCGAATTTTATCGCGATGTTGACTAGTTTGTAAATGTTTTTGGTGAACTTGCTTTGTGTGGAATCCGGTTTGTAAACGAGATTAACCGGGGTCAATTAAAATCGGGTCGATTGATTAATTTTGGTGAAGATTTAGATCAATTAAATCCCTTTTGTTGAACACGGAAGAAGCAGTAATTTTTGGAGGGTTGGGTTGTCGAAAGAAAAAAAAAACCGTCGGTATAAAATATTCCTCTAGATAATGTGACATTTTTTTGGAAAAAATAAATTTTGGAAATTTTATAAAAGTCTGGAATTTTTTGAAAAAGGTCTCATCATAACCAGCAAAAGAAATTGAAATTTGATGCTTTATTTGATTATTTTGAAGCCCCTTTGGATCAATTTTGTTCGCATCCATAAGAATAATTATTTATTCATTTTTTACTGTACAACTGCATTTCATAGTTTGGGATTTCACTTTCTTTCACACAGATGTCGCCCGAATTCAACGATATTTTGTTTGGTTTAATTTTGGTCGGGGAATCTTTGATTGTTAATGTTGGCTCGGGTTGAGTATGAGGTGGAAATTAATTTTCCGGATCTTGACAAATTTTTTCAATCCATCAAAATTCAGTTTTTTTTGCGTGAATTAGAAATTTTTGACAGGATATCAAATTACTGTAATTACTGTGAAAGAATTCGAATTTTCATTCTTCACTCCTTAAAAGAGATTTAATTGAGCAAGGTTTAATTTCCACAACCACTTTGGGAAAAATGTTCCAACAGTTGCTTAATCGTTTTATTGAAAACTCGATTAATTTCCCACAACATTTTCCGATGCATCAATTGAAGGCATTTTTCAGCATTTAGACCATGATTTATATTTAATGATTTTTTAAATTTTTCTTCAGAGTTTAAATTGTCGCTGATGAATAATCCAAGTCCACATTTTTATTGATAATGATTTTTATGGGCATCAATGGAGATTTTTCGGTTGATTTTTTGAAGACACTGATGAACCCGGATCCTTGAAGTAATTTATTTAAGATCATTGGCTCTGATATCATGCGTGTATGGTTATGAATTGAGGACAATTATTTATTTTTTTAGTGTAGCTAAATCAGATGTGGAAAATGCAGAATAAAAGAATTGAACGACGGGAAATCATTCAGACAATCATTTTCCCCAATTTATTTTTTATTTTGCCGCTATATAATAAAATAATACAAAGGTTCATGATTTATTACGGAAACCCTGGGGTTCATCTATTTAATTTTTTTTTCTGTATAGGTTATTGAGAAATTCTTTGAGCATTTTTTTAAAAGCTGAACAAGAGGATGAGGTGAAATTTTTTATGCAATATTTGCTGCATATTTAAAAAATAATTCAGAAATGTTGAACTTGCTACAATTCATCATTACAATCATTAAAATTCATAATGAGAAAAATCATTACAATCCGTGATTTTTCTCTGGGGAAAAAGTTGTACGTGGGGATTTTTTTCCGAGTCAATTTTGTTGGAATATAAAAATTTCGTTTTGCCTAATTTTCGTTCTGCTGAAATCAATCAATTCTTTCGTGGGGAAAAAATTCGTTATGCGTTTTTGTTCAAATACAAATTTTTGAAAATTTGCGGAAATTAATGCACTTTTTGTTGAAACATTTTTCAATTCAGTATAATAAATATTCATTTCAAAGAAAACATTTGAATTCAAAGATACTTCACATATTAATGCATTTTTAGAAATATTTTCCACGTGCATGTGAAATATTTTTCAATGCGATTCACTTATTGTTGGAATCAGAAATTTCGTTATTATAAATTTTAGTTGTATGAGTGGTTATTTATGCTAGGATTATCATCATCATCAGAGGTCTAAAATTTTTTTTGCAATCATGTCTGAGAATTATTTGATGCTTGAATTTAAATATTTCCTATGAATACTTTCGCTTCATTCAGAGGAAAAATGTGCGCAGAATTTCGTTTTCAAAAGCTTGAATTTCAGGATTGATTTTCCAAAAAAAACAATCTTTTATTAAATTTTTCATTTTGTTTTCTCTCTTCATTTTTGCAGTACTCAGTTTGCGAGGAAGCAGCACTCGCGGAAGCCCAGCAATGAAGGGCTGCAGTTTGCCAACAACAGCATGTTGTCGCTGGTGAACGAGTTTGTGCACGCTGTGGGCGCCATGGAGGAGACGGTGTTGGTGCCGTCGCGGCTGATGGACGTCGGAGTGGCGTCCCCCGTGGGCGACGCGGCGGTCTTGTCGCCGTCCGCCGCCCTGCTCCACCGCGCTGTGCCCAAGTGGGCGTCCAAGTCCCCGTCCGACCTCTTTTCCTTCTTCAACGCCGTCAAGCGGGTTCGTTTCTCTTTTTATTTTTATTTCGTGCCGTGCTGTACAGCTGCACACTATATTTAATTTACGTTTTTTGTAAACAATATTTAAAAGACGGGATACAGTACTTTATTTTTATGCAGTTGTTTGACTGCCATTTTGAAGCAGGAGTAGATTATTAAAATTGAATTTATTTTGGGAATGACTCGTCCTGGCCATTTTTTTTTTCGTTCTCGCTTAATTTGAATTGAGGAAAATATTTTACAGTATCGTAAAAGAAGAATTATGTATAATATGCAGAATTTCGAATTAAATTTTCGAGTACTTATAGTGTTTGATTTTCTGCGGTTGGACTTACGTATTATTCTAAGAAGTGGAAAGAAGATTATGGAAATACTGTAGTATTTTTCTTGTTGGGGAAGTTTTAGCATATTTTGGGTTCATGAAAATGATCTTTTGTAACACGGATTCAATTTCGAGGAACCATTTATTTATCTTATTTTTTTGCAGTAGTAATTTGCAATGTTGTTTCTTTGGGTGGAATGTCATTTTTGAAATTTCACATTTTGTTTAGATTGATGAGTCCTTTTTTTCAATGTCACGTTGCAGCGTAATTTAGATTTTGAAAAAATGCTCTTTTTAAATGGAAAGTAATTGATTACTATAATCATTTTTTTAAATAACATTGTGTCTATTGGACGGAGACCTGAAGAACGAAGTCGTTGTAAGAAATACTTTTTTATAATGAGGTTCATTGAAACAAGATTCGGCTGTAAGAAAAAATTAAGCATAAATAAACGAACAGGCTTTTGCATAATTTAGGGACAGGGGGTTTGGATGTGACGACATTACTTGAACTTTGTGAATGCTCAAAAGTGGAAAATAAAGCTTGCTGTTGAATTCAATTCAAGAAAAGATGTATAGGATGAATTCGTTGTAAGCAATACTGTACTTCCTTATAATGGTTTTAGTGTTGAATATACTGTATATCTCTCTATACTGTATAGGACTACAGAAATAATTTTAAATAAAATCAATCAACACGGTGGCCATTGGGTCCAGGTTTGAATTAGAAAAAATTTGGTGTGATGAATGACAAAGTGATTCTATTAGATTATTTGTAAAAAATTAATCTACAGTATTGTACTACTGCATGAGATAATCAAGCATTGATCTTTGAAATTATTATTTGTTTTTGATGAATTGTTTTTTTTTTTTCTGCGCAGGTTCACAACACGTTGTTGTGGGGTGGAAAGGAGAAACCCGAGGGTGAGCCGCAACCCATGCGAGCAGTCTACACTCCTGCAGCTCTGCCGAGTCTCGCAGTCACAACCTACCCGATGGGTTCTTCCTCCTCCTCTACTTCCGGTTGTGTGACTCCAATCTCTCCACCGTCTCCGACCAGCGCCGAAGACCCAGCAACCACAATGCTGTCCTCTCATCATCATCACCATCACAATCAAAATCATCGCAACAGCGGCGGCAGTGGCGACACCTTGCGTCAGGCTTCGTCTTCGGCGTCCCTGGCCTCTGGGTTCGAAGACGGCGACGACGCCGAAGTGTCGTCCACTGATGACAGCAGTGACTCTGGTCTGGACCAGGAGCAGGGCAGTCGGGAAGACCCCCTGAAGGCCATGGCTGACAAGTTCTCTGCCCACTTGGCCGGCATGCTGGATTGTCTGGACGAATTCACGCGTGTAGCGCATGTCGTGTCTCAGCGCTACCACGAAGAAGTGGTTGGGGCGCCGGTGTAGTAGGAAAAAAAAAAAAAAGAGATATGAGAGAGAGAGGTACTTCATGCATATCCCACCTCCCCTATACAACCCCCATGTGTGTGTGTGTGTGTGGAAAGGGAATGAAAAATATGTGGGTGGGGCGGGGTTTAGAAAGAAGATTGGTTCATCCAAGTGTTGGAGGTGATTCTATTGATTGATGATCACATCCATCTCCTTGGGGGGAAAGAAGAGACTCACTCTCTCTTGCACACACACACACACACAACTATTGCGGTTCCAGTCATAATTTTATTCTTTTTTTTGTTTGAAAAAGAACAGCGAGGAGAAAGATAGAAAAAGAGTGGAAGCTTATATTCCCCCACAACTTTCATTTCTTTGTCTCTCTTCTTCCTCAGATTATCTCTGTGGATAAAAAGGAAAGCAACTCTCTCAAAGCTGGGCACCATATTGGATATTTTACCAAACTTTTTGAGTGACTGTAACCCCATTTTTTTCTGAAGGAGAATGATCAAATTTTGAAGCAAGTGTACCTTGAAGAAAAAGTTGGCAACGCTTGGGAACTTCCTCTTTTCAGAATATATTTCTTTCCTGGGCTATGAAAAATAATTTTTGGGGTTTTCTGAGAATTTTTCTGTATATTGGCTTGATGAACGCATATTTTATTCAAATTTTGGCAGGACATGAAAAAAAAAATCAGCTACTTGCAAAATAAATTTTTGCTTGGAATTTGGTGGCATGAGTATATATACAGTATATGAAAAGATAATTGCTGACTGCATAAATGTAAAAGATGATTTACCCAGTTGTAGCCTGGTTTTCAGTTGCTGTCCTTATCCTAAAGCAATTCTTTTTTCTGCTGCGCTCTGTGCTGTTTTCTTCTCTCTTTTTTTTTAGCACATGTAGAGACGTAATGTATACTTTTTGAAGCACTCACAAAGCGTCGTGGTATTGAAGAAAAGCAAAGTTAGGATTCGTGTCTGTGATCCGAATGCCTTATTTGGGAAATGATGAGATTCAGGCAAAGGGAGAGAAAAAAGAAAACCCCACATATGCTCAAGATGGATGCCCCCATGGCTAATGAATGTTTACCAAGTCGCTCTCCCCCTCCTCCCTTCCCAGAACTTTTTTTGTTTCGTGTATTTATTGTTGCCAGTCTCGTGTACAGGGTTGTAGTTTCCGTGTTGAACTCTGCGTGTTAGGAGATAATTTTACTTTATTTCTCCCCGTTCCCTTTTTATTTCCAAGCTGCCCTGCCCAAGGAAGAAGAAAAGATGGAAGTGCAGTACTGGTTCGGGAAAGTTTTGAGCACTAGAATGCGGGGCACTTCACACGGGGTCCTTTTTTCAAACCCCCCCTTTTTATTTTTAATTTGCTGAGGTGGGCGATTCTAGTGAGGCTGTGAAATTTCCTGGGCGAAGTTCGATGGCAGGTTTGAGAGTCAAGGTTCTGTTCCGTTGGCAGTTCTGCTGCGGAGTGCCCCGAAAAAAAAAGACACACGCCAGCAGCAAAAGGGAAAGGCAACAAGTTTTCGCACACCCACGCAAAATAAGAAAGCTGTGATACTTGGGAACGACTGTATGTGTATGTGTGTGCGTTTTTTTGTGTTTGGGGAGGTTTTTGAAATATTGAGCCGCGGTTTTTACAAAAATTTTCTTCATCTCTTTTTTGCACCATATATGTTGGATTGAGTTTTTTTTCTTGAATCGAGGGAGGATAGCTTTATTGAATATCCGTCTATTTGACTATTCCCCGTATTCTTTTATCGCGTTTTCGTACACACACACATACAAGGAAAGTTGAACATTTTTGAGGGGATGGGGCAAAGAGAATCACGATTATTTTTTTATCACGAGTTTGCGTGTGAAATTTTCAAGCGTCCCACATTGCCCTCTTTCTTTGTCTCGCAATGTTATGCTTGCCATCGGGATTCTCTACCGACAAATGCCAATATTTTGCTATTGATTGGTGCTTTGCGGAAAGAAAAGAAGTAAGAAAGATGTACGGCGAGGGACTTGCGAATTGACTAGGTGGCGGCTTTTATGTGCAGAGTTTTGTCCTGTTATTTTCATCAGTGTTGATGGGAGGGGGGAGTTTTTTTGCAACGGGTTTATCTTTCCGTTTCGCAAGACTTCTGGATGCACGGTGTTTTTCCTTCGTCGCATCAAATTTTTTGCAAAAAAGCGAATCCTCTGCAATCAGAAAAAGTCGCATTAGGGAAATCGCAAGCAGTGCATGCTATGTGAGGTGGAGATGAATGAATGATGGTCAATACTGGTGTTGTTCACTTCAAATTCGTGATCGGTCAGGATGCCACATCTTCACACAATTTGACACGCTGTATAACAGAGGTCAACATTAACAAGTGAAAGAAGGAGTAGCAAAATTTTTCTTCCGACACGTGGAACTTCCGGGTGAGTTGTAGAAAAATAAGTAAATGTGCAGTTTGATTTTTTCATATTTGAGAGCATCATACTTACGTGGCCGAGCCTTCAAGTATCGTACAGGTTGAAAAGCGAAACGAACACATGTGAATCATGACCGCCAAGTAATAAACTGAATTATGTTCTGAGTAGCAGTAGAAACGTGATCTATAAACGAAATTCAAGTTTATATATAAAGTACAATACTTATAAAAATAGTATATGCCATAATATTCCAAATAGTTATTTTCAAGTGAGTTCATGGTCCTGAACACTGATGTTATTCCATAAAAACTACTAATCCATATATATTGCGCGAAATCTGCTGGAATGAGTTTAAAAAATGACATGCACGTTGGATAACTTCCACCCGTGAGCCATTTTACATAAATTTATACGAAAGTTGCTTACTGCATTTTTCCTGATCATTCACCGCAACACATTAAGTCCATCAACAAAGGCTTATTACGGAAATGAACGTTCCTCATCTAGAATAAATCTCGAGTCTAATCTGCACATTTTCCGTTCACGTCGTATTCATTTTTCCAGAAGCAGAAATCAAGAAAAGTTGATGTAAAACAAAAATTAATTGTGACCACTATCTATGCCACTTCAACTTCTTGAATACCAATTTCTGGTCAATGTCTTGCTGTTGGGCAAATTTGCGGTGATCTCTGGACAAGAACCGCTTGATCTTCCGCCTGCCAGGTTTCTCACGCACACGTGTCTCAATCACATTGCGCTTCTGCAGGCTCTTGAAGCGGTCAACCAGAAGGTGTCCCTCTGGTCTCAGCTGGCGCAAGGAGCCGCTCACTTCTTCCACAAACTTCACTGGCAAATCTGCGTCTTCAAACGGAGTCTTGCTTAACTGCACACAACGCAAACAACAAAAAGACGTGGAGTCAGTGTTTGTAATTGATTACAAATACATCTCGTTGCAACAAATTTTTGAGGGAATTCAAAAAAGTTTGCTTCACTGAATAATTTGACATGACAATTTTTTCAAAATTAAAGACTGTAAAACAATTTACAAATCAGATCTACCCATCATTAATTAGATCTTGCCTAACTGGAATTCTCAGATTTTTTCATTACTCTTTGAAAAACTGGTTGATCTTTAAAAAAAAAATTGGTATCAATAACGCATTACATCAGTTACAAAATCTGTTCATTCTGGAATGATGATGGGAGGAATCACTTGGTTGCATGTTTTTCATCTATTGAAGCTAAAAGAACCAGTAAGTGACATTTGGGATCAGAAACTTCTGCCTGTGTCTGTCTTACTCAGGACATTTTTACCAGGAGAATCTATTCAACACTCCTAAAAAAAATAACGTTTGTAATACTGGAATTAGGAAGTTTGTCATAAAAGGATTGTTTTATCAAGTACTGTACTGTACAGTATATGCTTCCTGTCAAGACTTGAGAGTGGGGGTCATTTTTTTGTAATGCAAGAATCTGAACTGCACAGGCAAATTAAATAAATTCTGGAGAATAAATCAACGAATATGAAACCTTTTTCGTGCCGAAAAGTTCCTTCTGTCTCGTTTTTAGTCGCCTCTTGACAATGTTTGACTGGATTTCCTTCTCCTTGGTCTTGATTTCCTTGCGGATCTGTTTCAAGCGCAAAACTGCGCTTTCCTTCGCTTGCAGAGCTTTTTTCACAGCAGCTTCTCGAGCCTTGGCCCTGATATTTCTCTCTTTATTCCTCTTCGTCTTGGTCTTTTTATCTTCCGCTCTAAAAGATTATTCAAAAAGACAAGTTTTTTGAAAATGCAATGGTTTTTTTCATCCGAGTTCTCACTTCAGTTCGAAACATTTCTCAAGGTTTCTTACCTAATGGGCGCTTTGTAAACCATTTCCCCTTCCTCGTCAATCGTTGTTTCGGCAACGGGTTCATCTTCCTTCTTCTCTTCTGGTGCAGTTTCTTTTTCTTCTTCTTCCTCGTCTTCTACAAACAACCCTTCAGACATTTCCATGAGCTTGTCCTGTTCAGTAGGGGCAGTTTTAGGGAACATTCCATAAGTCTTCTTGTGCCACTTTTCTTCTTCGCGTTCCTTTCGTATCTCAATTTCCGCAGCGGTTTCAAGGAGAGCAGAATGATCTTTGATTGACGGGTTATACGACATTCCTGGATGCGGGGTTTCCACCTTTGGGATCATCGTCAGGTTCTTGTGGATGCTTCGTGGTGGCTTTGGTATCTGCAATTAAATACAGTCATCCGTCATAAAAGTACTGTAGATTAAATTTTTGCTGAGGAAGATACGAGGGTTGGTTGATAGGCATCATCAACATTTTGCACTTCCTTCTTTGGTCACTTTAATGGATCAATAGATGGACACAGTAATTTTTACACAGGATAATCCTGATGGGATTTGAAAGAAATTTTGGGAGTTGAGGGTGTTAAAAGCTTAAAACCATCATTATTTTCATTTTTTTTTTTGCAACGAGTGAGTGAAACATTTTCAGAGAATCTATTGGAAAATAGTTTTCCTTAATTCCTTATTGAGAGAAGCATAATTTTCCTGCCACTCTACGTTGCAATCTTCTTCCAAGTTTCACCAGCTGGAACACGTCCATGCACTTCTGCATGAGAAATACGTCCCCAACAACGAACGGGATTGTTTTTTCGCATGAGGTATCGTAATACACGTTGACTGCCTCTAGATAAAAATTCAAGGAGCGGAAAAGTTCGTTGTAGAGAACCCTCATGATAGCCATGGCATGTGGCCTAAGAAATCCGGTATACGGCACGATCTTGTCACGACGAATAATCGATTACAACGAATTCATATTCTATGTCCCCGTACAATAGCTACAATGATATTTGAGTTCCATCATAACGGAGCTATTTTATCGATCCCAATGGCTTCGTTGCCACGAGATTTTAATGCACAAAGAATATCGTTGTAGAGAGATATACTGCCCACGCGTATTTTCAGAATCTTCACCTTCTTCTTGGTGCAGTCCACGAAATTATGAGTCACCAATTCGTGGTCATCGAATCCAAAGTCGTCTTCCTTCGACCAAACGTCATACGGCTCAACGTCCAAGGCATTGGCTTTCGCCATCCACGTGGCGTCCCTGTCTTCCAGACTCCTCATGGCTCTCAAACGCTTCCTCTCATCCAACTGCCTTTTCCAGGGCGCTTTCGCAACGCGCTCTTCATCAGTCTTCACATACCGTAACGCCAGTCGCCCAAGCTGTGCTCTGAACAAGAAGTTCAAGACCTTTTGCAGGTTTTGCACGTCGTGACCGCCATAAAACTACCTGAACTAGGCGGACAACTCGAGGAAGAAGACCTGTAGCAGGACCCGACAATCTCCCTGTCAATGAAATTATTGCATGCAAAAATATCAATAAATGAAAGCGAAACAAAAAAAATGTGGGGAAAATAAAAACTTTAAAACGTATGAATGGAGCGACATTCACAGAGACACTTGGAATGAAGTACATCCAAAGGAAATCGTTTAGAATGAAGTCCGTTATCCGAAATCGGCTTCACTATAGGAAGAAAAGTACCTTCGGCAGCCCAAGTCTTCCGCGCGGAAAATTCTGTCTCACGCAAGTGCTTTAAATTCAATTTTCCATCACCGATGGGGGAAAAATACGATTTTTGAAAAATCAAATATTTTGTTTGAGCTCATAAAATTGTACATAAATCAAGTTGCATTGAGAATAAACAGGATGAATCATACCGTATTTACTAAAGGATCACATGCAATTTTTTCCGGTCAATTGGGGCAAAAAGTAGTCTGGTACATAATTTCAAGGGACATGGAAAAAATGGAAACTTTTCTTTCCACTCGAAAATTTGTTTCCAACTTCTCTATAATACTGATTTCATTTTTAAATTTTGTACGGAACAAAAATTTGACCATTGAACGCAATTTTTTTGAGTGGGCCTCAAGTTAGATTTTCAACCAACACAGTTTTTCAATCACAGTATGAATTTTGGTAACTGAAAGTTCAATTGCGCGTCTTACGCCGGGATAACTTGTTCCCCAAAATTTCATTTTTTTTTAGAAGCCACGCGCAGAATAAGCCTGTGCTTACCATTTTTTCAGTGTGTTTGGTGCAACAGATACTGCTTTTCGAGAAGCAGGAAGTAGAGAAGCTAAAGTAGTCGAGGCTAGGCAAGCAAGTGTCTCTGTTCATCCAGATAAACCTCGACGTCGTCCACATTCACCCGCCGCATGGATTTCTTCTTGTTCTTGGACAAGTGGGCCTTGTTGACCGGACGTCCGGGCTCGATATTCGCAGTCTTCGACGACACACGCGGAAAGGACACTTTCTCGACAAGCGGAACATCCTTGGATTTCTTTTTCCGCATGACGCTTTTTTTCGCCGAAGTTTTTACAGACACCTTCATGGCGACCGAGTTACTGAGGTAAGAAAAGCAGAATGCGATTATTAGCTCTTTGATGCCTCACGTGATCGACTGAGCAAACTGATCGGCCATGACACAGGTGTCGCCCAAATTGAGACACAGTCGAATGGGATTTAGGATAAGAAAACATTTCATGGTCTAATCGTCAATGGGATCAGAATAACGTAATAATCCCGATGTTTCCATTTTAAATTTGCTTGGTGATAGAGTTTTTATAAGTGTAACGAAAAAGAGAGAACATTTCAACGTCAGGTTCAAGACTTTTGCCGATGAAGGTGAAGTAATTGTTCCCAACAGAAATTTTCAATTGAATGTATTCGAGGATTGACCACGACCTTAACCCCATGCACATTGAGATACAGTACTACATGTACGGCAGAATTATTCAAGTAATTCAGGCGACACCTGTCGATCAAGGCCAAAGTGCACATAAAACAATATTATAACGAGTTGAAAAAGCATGATGACAAGAACGAATCCGATGTTCTGGAGCGGAGTCAAGCTCTTCCAGTGATCTGAAACAGAAAAAAGGAACCTCACATCAGGTTGATTGAATTCAACAACATAATCTCAAGAGATAAAAGCCAGTTTTTCAGGTTTCGAGAACAGGTTTGCACTCATCTTAGGGCGGAAAAAGCGCGAAATATTTCAACAGCTCATCCAGCGACCAGTTCAATATTAGCATGGAAAATTCATCAAGTGAAGTTATGATTACGCGAAACGGGAAGAAATTCTCACCTTCGCTTCAGCCGAAAATCAGGAAACTGCGACAACCATATCATCCTCGTGATCTGTAACAAAAA